TTTGTCTCATTACTTGATCTCTGAATGTTTGTTTTTTGTGATTTTTGGCATATGCGATCTCGAAGCATATACAAACAAGTTTGACGGTTTGATCGTTGAAATTAGTTTCGTGTATCCCATCAAGTTCAATGGTGTGTATATATATATATTTATTATGTAGATTTAAATCTATTTATTTTGTACGTATAATTATTATAGTTTTTTTTTGGGGTATAAAATTTAATTTAAAATTTAATATATATATATATATATATATATATATAATTATTATAGTTAATATTTTGGGGGTATAATTATTATAGTATATATAATTATTATAGTTAATTTAATATATATATATATATATAATTATAGTTTTAAACTTTTTAGGGGTATAAAATTGTTAAATTATTATAGTATTTTTTAGGGTTATAAAATTATTAAATTAATATTCTGCTTATCGTGTATCGTGTTTCCCACGTGTATACCCGAACCAACCCGTTATCTTAACAGGTGCTTATCGGGTTACCCGATAATACCCGATTCGTTATCGTGTCGACTCAAATACCTGTTAATTTTGGGTCGTGTCGTTTCGGGTTATCGGGTCGTGTCAGGAATTGCCAGGCCTAACCTCAATCCACATTATGTAACATATCAAAGAATCAACGAAGCACAATATTATTCTCAAGCCACATCAATCAAATATTCTAATCATAATAATAACAATCATGACGTCATTCCACAATCACTCTAATTAATCAACCACAAGAATTAAAGATGCACAATATTAACATTGAACTACATTAATCAATCAATAAGATCACATATCAATTCACAAAATAAAATAAAATAATTCTACATAATTCCCTACCTAGATTCCAAGTAATATCATGATAAATCTAATTTATAAACATAATGTCTACTGTGAGCAATTCCTATTCTCTCAAATCTACGGTCAGACTAACCTTATGAAAATGAACAAAAGTATGAATTCTGGACCACTCAATGGAATCCAACTAAAATATGGTTGCCTATCGAAATGTACCGAGTACAACTAATCATCATCACCCTAGAATGCGTATAGTCCCCCATCGCGGAAATACCAAGTAGAACCATAGACATAATCTCATCGTGCAGGCAGTGATCACCCATCGCGAATATACCAAGCATGATCACCCCTGAATATGTATGGTTCCCCAGATATACCAAGCATGACCACATCCTAACTCTAGGTAGTGATCACCCAACGTGGATATACCAAGCATGATCACTTCTAGAATGCGTATGGTCCCTCATCGCGGATATACCAAGCAGAACCATATGCATAGTATAATAACGTAGGCAGTGATCACCCATCGCAGATATACCAAGCATGATCACCCCTAACAGTCCCTCATCGCAGATATACCAAGCAAGACTGTATCCTATAGCTCTAGGTAGAATCACCCATCACGGATATACTAAGCATGATCACTCCTAGAATGCGTGAGGTCCCTCATCGCGGATGTACCAAGCATGATCACCCCTGAAATACGTATGGTTCCCATAGCGGATATACCAAGTAAGACCATCCATGTACCACTGCTACATGGTGTAGTAAATTTAACACACAACCTACCCATACCTTAACCCTTATAAGTTACAACGTAGTCACCTACACCATCAACTTCTCATGGTCACCAACTAATATGTCACACAAGCATATAAGTTTTACAGAATACTTCTAATAGGATTCTAGTATCACATTGTCATAACATTTATCATACTTATCATTCACAATATTAAGAAGATAAATAAACAAATATATATCACAATATGATGTCTCATACACGTAAACCGATGTATATATTATCTGGGATAACTCACTAACCAATATAGGCCCACTAAGCCCTACATAGTCTCTAGTAATACTAATTTTAATATTTAAGATCAATTTGTAACATATTGACCGAAAGTCAAGTCTCTGTCAAATGTGGGGTCCACAACCCTATACAAGTCAATCTAGAACATCCGCCCATGGATTTCCGATCCGTAACTTCCCAATGGTCTCATTTATCTTCTAAAACAATATTCTAAAATTTCGGAACGATCCAACGATCGAATCTTTTCCAATTGCTAAAATTAGGTTGCTATCAATGTTTGGTTTTACAAACTTAGAAATTCAATTTGGGAAGATCCATAAGTTGGATTCCAAATCCGTCAATTCATATGGTCCTTAAATATTACATACTATAACATATTAAGGTTTAGTATCGATCCAGCGGTCAAATCGTCATTTCATATAATGACCAAGTGGCGGCCTCTAACAAAACTATGTTCAAACGATGGGATTTTGTCAATCCGACATTACATATGGAATCGGGGTATCGAATTTAGCCTAGAAAGTCAAGTGGGTCCTAGGCCCATGCGCCGCACATGTGGCGGCCGGCCACCCCGATTCGCCAAAAAAATTAACTAACTCCAAAAATTACCAAATTTTACATATGTAAATCTCAGCAAGGGGAACTACTTTCATACATGGGCTGAAGTCCAATTCAGCCGGAAACGCCTGAAAACCTTCTCGATCCACCAGAACCCTAGAAATGGGTGTGCTTCGATTCTCCTTCCTCGGTGTTCCGCCGCCCCTACAACTGATTGGGCTTTGTTCTAGGGCTCAAGGGGAGTCTAATGGTGGAGGAGATCGATGGGATTACATTAAAAAATGGTAGATCGCCGTCGATGAAGCCTTCAGTGTCTCGTTGCAAAATGGACAATAATTTGGATCAAGGAAGGATGTGCATTTTCATTCCCATAACTTCAAAAACAGTCCATCACTACTACGAAATCATTTATTAGTGTTGCTATGATAACCGATAAGAAATGTATATTACTGTCGGATATTAAGCAAACTATGACAGAAAATAGATGCAGTGTTGGATATAATAAGCGACAGAATTACCAGCGTCAGAAAATGAATTTTCTGTTAGTTAAGGCTCTAAAACAGACAGAACTTGTGTCGGATACATGCGACAATAAATACTTAACTAATGTCGGATATTATCAATTAATGTCGTTCATAACAGCCAGAAAATTAAAAATACCGTCGGATTGACATCATGTTCCTGTCGGTTCTAATCGACAAAAACATTTAAAAATAAATAAAATCTATTATAAATAACTATTTTCCGTCGTCCACAACTGACAGAAAAATATTAATATTTAAAAAAAAAAAAAGGAATCCTTCTATTTGTTTTTTTAATGAATGAATAAAAATAGAATAAAAATTATTTAGGAGAAAAGGAAGAACAATTTCAAGACCAAGATCCCTACGAAGCTGAGGAAACCCTATTTCTCTGCGATCTCCCCACACACAGTGACTCAACTCATTGAGATGGCTTCTCCAAAGACTACCAAAGCTCATCGTTCGACCGCGACGAAGAAAACTACTTTGAGTTCTTCAGCAAAGAAGGACATAATCTTTTGTGGAAAACTCATACCCTACAACAAAAAAGCACCAAACTCTGCAGCAGAGAAAGGTCACCAGAAGATCAAGAGCCAAGAAACCGGAAGCAACGCGAGAAGCGTCAACTTTTCGAAGAAGAAGGGATTTTTTAGGTCGTGGAGGTCTTACCTCTTCCACAAGTTGTCTCTCTTTCCACTTCGGAATAGCAGCTCTGCGAGTTCTATACAAACATTTGTCATGTATTTCAAAAACAACAAAGAAAAAACTCACAATATAATTACTTTAAAATGTATCATTTTCAGTTTGTTCCTGGAATTCATGGCCTTCATTTGATTCCTCCATAGTAATGGCTGAGACAAGAAGGAGGAGTAAAAATGGCTAAGGAAGTAAAAATGGCTAAGAAATGAATGAGTAAAAATGGGAAGGAGAAGAAGAACGGCTGAAGTGAAAATGGGAAGTTGAATTATTTTAGCTAAGGGTAATAAATGTTGTCTGTTATAACCGATAACTTGAATAAAACCCACCAACCTTTTTTATATGCATGTCAGGTTAGTGTCGTTTATAACCGACAAAATTAACCAAAAACTGCCACAAAATTTTCTTCCATCAGATTTTGTGAGCCATTAATTTTTTTGAATCACAGTCGCGGGAAATTTCTTGCCCAAAATTTTGCTCTGTTCCTGTCGATTACATCCGACAGGGCCATGAGCACTAAAATAATAAAATTTTGAAAAACTTTTGGCGTAAAAATAATAAAATAGTCCAATTATGTCGGTTATAACCGACTGAATACTAAAATAATAACCGCCATAAACTAAAATAATAAAATAGTCGATTTTTGTTAGTTATAACCGCCACCATTTACCCAGAATCTATTAAAAATATTAAAAAAAAAAGAATTTAAAAATACTAGCGCTTTCATCCGACACTAAATATCCGCCAGGAATTTATGTCGGATATAACTGACAAGATTTCATTTTTATCCGACACTAACTGAATGATGTGTCGAATATCTTTTATCAGACATAATGGCTTATTAAACCGCCACCATCATCCGACACCTAAAGCTAATATTGTAGTAGTGCATGCTCGTAGCCAACTAGTTAACCATCAAGCATTCCCAATAACCATACAGCAGGGGGTCTGTTGTCCCCTAATGGTGTCTCCTCTTCCATTTTTGACATGTGTACCGTGTTATACCACTTAATTCTAACTTAAGTTGAGATTAAGTGGTATGACACATGTCAAAAAATGAAAGAAGAGACATAGAGAAGACACCATTTTAGAGGACAGCAGACGTTGGGCCTAACCATACTCGCCATGTAATGAATTCTCAAACCTTTAACATGTTTATCTATTTTCATAAATACAAAATTATTTTGTAATCATTAGTGAAAAAAAATAATTTGATCAGCTGATGTTACGCAACATAATTAATTAAAAACTGCAATTAGAAAAATAATATGATGATAATTGCATTCACAAAAATCCATTACATAGTATAACCAAGTGAATGGAAGCAAATGTAGAAAGATAATGGTACATATATAGTTTATGTGATACTATATTTTCTTTTTGCACAAATGGATTATTAAGTAAGAAATATTACATACACTATTTAAAAGAAGAAGAAAAAAAGGGAGAAAACATTAAGAAGATAATTATTCTAAGGTGTTTTTGCGAATGAGCTTACCATTGGATGAGAGAGATTGTTGATCAACGGCCCAATTGTTGCTAGTAGATGCGCTACCATTGTTGTCTTCATGATCTCTTGGGGCAAAAGCAGTCGGCGCAGGATGACTAGTTGTTGCATGGTTGTCTTTATTAATGAGGGATGTGATAGCAGCTGCAACAGCAACCCTAAATTTAGGGTCTGAAGCAATGGCACTTACATTTTCAGCCAATAACGACATATTTTCTTCCCCTGATCTCCAGTTACCTTTCTGATCGTCCGCTAGCGCCATGCCGGATGATCTACTGCCGTTAGCCAAAAGACGGTTGGTGAGACTATTACTGGTATAATAGTTTGCAGATCTGCTGCTAGTATTGCTCATCATCCAACTACTACTAAAACCTGGTGCTGCAGATGATGAGGAGCTACCCATGGCCATGGGAATATTTTGGGGTTGGGATGTAATAGTATCGTAAAAGTTGTTTGTGAGGTCTAGAACAAGTCCTTTGGAAGGGTCGTGAGGATTGATGATTCGATAGTTTGACGAGGAGTGAGATGAAGGGTTCAGGTTCATCATATTATGAGGGGTATTACTATTGTAGTAAGGGAGGGATACTTGAGTGTAGTTAGAGGGTGTGCCATCTGCTAAATGATGGTTACTTGAATCTAGTAACATGCAGGAAGCTGCGGCAGAAGCTGATGAAGCCATGGCTGTTGCATCCACTGGAAGAGGATGGTTGTGTGTTCCTTCATAAGTTGTTATAAGTATGGACATGTCCTCTTGGCATCTTTGAACCTACAATTATACCATCCAAAACATTTAAAAAAAAAAAGGTATAACTGAAAAACTTGAAGTTCAAATAACATTTTCCAAAAAAAATTTAAGAAAAAAAATTGAACTTTAATCGAACGATGTTTTGTAATGTAATTACGTCAACGCATATATATATATATGTATGTATGTATGTATCTATGTATATGTATATGTATATGTATATGTGGGTTAGTTTACACTACCCTTTAAAAACAAACAAAAAGTATACTGTTTAATCGAACGATATTTTTGTAATGTACGTCAACACATTAAAAAAGAATACCTGTTTTCTGACTGGGCATCCCGCGGCTACTGTGCAACGATAATAGGCTCGTGGGCAAGGGTTTCCTTTCGCGATTTTCTGCCCATATTTCCTCCATTGGCACCCATCATTCATCTGAGATATATAGCTTATTAAACGATATAGGTGGTTAATATTTACTCTTACTTGCTATACTGTATGCATGAAGCTAAACCCTACGTACATATATGTATATGTATATGTATATGTATGTGTATGTAATATGTATATGTATATGTGAGTTGTTAAGAAACTAACTAGTGCTTGCAAATGGAACGAATTACTCACCGTGGCATATTCACATCTTGCCCTAATCGAAACCCTAGCTTTCCGATTGGGATGAGGGGCACCGTGGCTCGTAATTCCGGCCAATTCGGTCCGCTGTAACTTGTTTTGCAGTTGCACTGATGATGATGTAAGACTAGCAGTCCTCGTCAATCCTTCCTTGTTATTGATCTCTTCTTTATCATCATCTTCTTCTTCTCTTCCCCTTAATTGAGTGGCAGTAGTAGCAGAGCTGGTTTGTAGCCTCAGTGACAACCCTAGTTGACTCTCTTCAGTAACTTCATCACGTTTTGGTGACGGTACTGGAGATCTATGGCTGATATCTAACATCTTGGAACTCATCTTGGGTCCTTGAGTTGCATTGGGATCGTTACCATCAAGTGAGAGAAAGGTTTGAGGATCCTAAATTAATCAATGAAATACATGAAAATTAACAATGTTGTTACTTGTGGAAATACAAGACACACAACTCGAGCAATTAAAAAAAAATACTTGTAATTATGATCTAATTAATAACAAAATTAAAATGGATTAAACTACCTTGTTTTGGTTACTTTGGTGGATAACCGTAAATTTCATTTGAAGATCGTAATAACCTTTCATCGTTTGCTCTACGACCTTCCTCAAAACCTTGTTTTCTTCCTTCATCCGGCTCATCTCCATTTGTAAAACGCTTAACTAGTAAAACGTTACATGTAATTAAGATAGTAATTTAGTTAGTTAATTAATTGGATAATAAATTATCACAAACACCTATATATAATCAAACTACAAAACATCTAATTTACCAAAAAAAAAAATGTCTAAAAACTTCCCTACCGGTACCTCCTGATCCGTCTTCATATTATTCTCCTGCAACGATGTTTCGACTACTGAGGCATCATCGTCTTCCTCTTCACCGGCACCGGCTTCCGTTGTTTTTAGCTTGTTATTCTGTACTCTTGGTTCTAGCTCATCCTCTTTTTCTTCTGCTGCTGCTTCTTCAACACCATCGTCGACGCGATGATCATCTTCTTCTTCCTCGTCGTCTACGCCTTCTTCTCGTTTTTCTTCTTTAGCATCAATTTGGAGTGAGAGATCAATATCCAAGTCTTTCTCCTGCTCTCTCATCCCCATTGAAGTAAGACAAGGTTGCAGAATCTCTTCCCCTCTCTCTCTATTTTTCTATATATTTCTCTCTCTGTTTTAATGCTGCTTTTTAGGCACCGAAGTCAATTCTCCCATCTCAAAGACGATAAATTTTTAATTGTGATGGAAACACAAGTGGTACACCACGTGTCTTAATATGAGTGGTGGAAAATTTTATTTTTTGAGTTATTAATTTTTTAGCACATATATCCTACTATTTATATAATGACACGTGTTATACTATCCCGTGTACCAATCACACTGAAGAATCTCATCTCAAACACGTATGATTAGACAAACAAGGACGCATCTAAGCTTTGACTTTAATTGAGCCCTTAATTAACTTGCATTAATCAAAGACTTGAAGAATTACATTTACATTTTAATACTACGACTGACTTGGACACTCCACGCCACGCATATAAAAATGAATAGGCGCTCATCAAGGCGCAATGCCGATTCAAAACTTCCCCATGCAGGTCTCAACCATTCTCTTCTTTAGGGTCCGGCTTCATTGCTACGTTGTGCTACGCATGTTTTATCCATTAAATTTAATTTTCACAATTGTTAAGTATTCTATTCTTAATCTTATCTATCCATTTTCTATATCACTTAATGCTACATATCATTGAAAAAAATAGCTTTCCGTTTATGAATATTAAATCGTGATTTTTTCCCTTAAAACCAAAACCAAAACAAAAATATTAGGTTAATGGCTTCTCAGTGGCCTGTTATATTAATATTCCAGGGCAAAGCCATCTCCTAGCTAGAAGATGAGTTTAGTTTAGTTAGCTCGCCCAACGCAAGTGCTCTATATTTTATTTTATTTTCATAATCCGCCCGCACAAAACTTAAATTAAATGAGCTGCAAAAGTAGTGCACTTGCAAAAGTAGACCCACATAGGCCATCTTACAAAACAAATAACAATTTATATTACATGGTTCTACTTCTAATTGCACCGAAGTATTTTGTGATAAAACTTAATACCTAATAATAAATTATTAAGTTTGGACAATATCGGTGATATTAGTATTAGACCATACTGGGCCTATAAAGTTTATGATGGTGTCATAGCGGGTTTTCAAATTTAGACCCAACACCTAGCAATAGGTGATTAAGTTAGGACACTTACAAACATCAAATTTAGACCCAACATCTAGCAATAGATGATTAAGTTAAGACACTTACAAACATGACCGATGTAGCTCCACATCTGACCTATAAAGTTTAAGGAAAACTAATGAAAAGGGCTTGAAAACTTTGAGTTTTAACGATAAAGACAAAATAAAAAGTAAAGTGAATAGTACCAAGATTAACTTTTTAGTGGAAAAATGTGATTTTTCGTTAAAGTGAACAGTACCGCGGGCTTTTCGTTAAAACTCCCTAAAGTTTACCATATATATAGACTTGGAAAGCCTTTTACCCTGAACTTAGGCAGCCGCCTAGCTAATATCTAGTTTGATATATAATAACGCCGTTCCGGCCATGCACGCGTCTACATAATACAACTTTTACAAAACCTTAATTATTATGCATGCAAGCTATGTACGCAGTGTGAATTATAGAAGAATGGACATCTTGAAGTTGGAGGGTATATAGATGCAAACTATGCTGATTTTATGTAGGCGTTCTACCTCGTGTGACTTCAATGGGAACCTTGTTACTTGGTATTAGCATGAGACTTTTTCTGTAACATATTAAAATGCTCGTTAGCCATCACTTAGTACCACATTTAAATAGAATGAGATGTGAGTTTAATACTAACTTATCATGACTGATCATTCTTAAACTAATTTTTTCGTGAAAAAAATATGCTTGTTGTCCGGATTATCAAAATTCACGATCAAGAACTCGTGATCGATCCGTAAAGGGGCGTGGTCGATCCCTAAACGGGCACCACTATTATATAGTTGCAATTAAAGCTAGATCCAAAGTGATACTTTTTAGTTGAAAAATCAATTAAAAATACTGACATCCTCTTTCCCGGTGGAATACGAACCCCGGACGAAATCCTAAAATAAGAGAAACCTTGGCATCAGATCTTGAATTTGTCAACTGGAAGACCTCTCCCACTTCTCCCGATAGACTCGCATGTTTTATAAACAATGATTTCCTATTTTAATTTTAACATATCCGATCCCACTTCCTCCCACGTTAACTATTGAGACTTAAATATATGTATGTGTATAGAGTATAGTATGTGCTGTAGCGAAGGAAGAGTGGGTGCATTGGGTGTCATTGACTCCAATAACTTGCTTTTCCACCAACTAAATTATACTTAACAGCGAAAAATTCGAATGACCTCTGTTTCATTTTATATATATTTTTAGGGAATAATGTTGCACTCACCACATCCGTATACCATCTATCTAATAGAGGTAGGGCCCACCACGGTAAAAGTAACGTTTTTTTTTATCTTCTAGGTAATTAGAAGTCTTCATTAACTATTGAGTAGTACTATATTTACCACATTTTTCATACCAAATTTGTATCGCATCTCTAATAGAAGTAGACTCATCAACACATGTGGGTCTCATCTCTATTAGAAGGATGATACAAATATGTGATAAGAGTTGTTATGTGTTTAATTTGAGCATTTGATATTAATATGGTGTAAATAACACGTGTGAAGTCCCTAGTCTATGTTTATTAAGCACACAGAAGACTTATTGAGCACCAATAAAATACACCAACAAAATAAGATAAGCTGAACTTAAAATTAAGCTTGTATGCATGCATGCCTTCAAAACATCATGTGCAAAAACTATAGATCAAAGTCATGTAATCAGTATTTAAGAAATTTTCCCCGTCCTTATTGCAATCAAATTCTGACTCCGTCGATGTGCATACGGTGTTGCCATCTTATTTCCTTCTTCATATGCATGCAGTCATATTTTATACAGTATACTTCCACTATATTAAGGGAAAGTTAAAACTTTTTAGACTCGGACAAATTCAGTGCAAAAGATGAAAAACCTTTAGAATTAATGCATTGTAGAGACGGTAGATAGAACCTAGCCTTTTGGTGGTAGTAGTATCTGTCTTGGTTGCAAATCTCAAATTCGATTAATATGAATTCGATTAAATGAGTATGCTACTTAGTTACGAATATCACATTTGTGGTGGCATGACTTTGTTGTAATTTGTAAAAAGTATTTTCATTGAAAAATATCATATAACGTGAAAGTTTGCATTGTTTGATCGGAATGAAGGATGATGTTAGCTAAGTAGTAACGGCTCGTTTGGAAGTGCTTTATGAAAGAAGCACAAGTTATGTGTTTCTTTTAGGAAGCACTAAAAGTGTTTTTTCATGATTCACCAGTGTTTTTACTGAGGATAAGTTCGAAAATATTTTCATCAAAAGCGCTTTCAGTTATTTTAAAATCACTTTCATATTGGTGACTTCAGACACACATTAATTGACTTAGCTAGGTTTCCATGCACTGAGGTTCCATTTTCGGTTGAAGTTGTCTACTCCGAAATAAGATTTCATATGGCACAAGTACATGTTGTTTTATTAGCACAAAACGCAACATAGAGTTGAAGGGGTTTCTTACTAATTGTGGCTAGAAGCTGTATTGATTCGGTCACTTATTATCCATGAATGGCCAATTAGTTTCCTTCGTATTTCTTGTGACCTGGCTCTATCAACAAGAATGGTGTGCCTTTGGTAAGCATTAAATTTTACCATACAGTGAAGGTGATGGTTGATCCATAATAATTTAGCATTGAATTCTTCAGTTTATGAAAGTTACAAAATGGGACATCCATAATATTGGCCTCAAATTTTTATTTACAGAAGTTAAATCTAAAATATCCACATAAAAGTGGAGAAGAATCTAAATCCGTTGTATTAAGTAGTCATGTGCTTAAGGCTCCGTTTTTTTTTTTTTGGTTGAAAGTACTTCATAGAACCAGCGAGGCCCAAGGCCAAGAAATAGACAGAATGGTGCCTAACACACCCAGAAACAAGAACAAGGAATAACGGGAAACAACAGACGTCGCCACAAAGGCTTCCAGCGTCTTCCAAGATACCATAACAAAAACTCCCCTACGGAGGACATGGAAGACCATCTTTGTTCAGAATACCCACAAGTGAAGATGGGGGTGTCACCACCCAGCCTGAGCCGCACATCTCCGGAGACAAGTTCCTCGTGACAAAATATGCCGCCATATTTGCTGATCGTGGAGACCACGATCAGGAGCATGATTGAAAACTCATCCTGACCTCCAAAACACGAGACATGATTGGGAGCAGTTCCCAATCACAACTCACAGAAGAGGAATTAAGGAACTGAATAATAGCCTAAGCATCAGATTCAATCACTACCTTCTGTACCTGTAAGTTTCTCGCCAGTAAGCATCCTTCTAAGACCGCCAACGTCTCCGCCATCATAGCCTTAGAAGCATGCACCTGAACACATTTCACCGCTATGCATCCGAAGTTCCAATCTCTGACAACCACCCTAACTTGCCCACATAAGGAATCCTTCATCCAACATGCATCAACATTCAGCTTGATCCAATTAACAGAGGGAGGAGACCACAAAGAAGGGCGGAGCATAGCACGAGATAGCCCCATGCTAGTCGTGGCCATTAGACTCTGGGTATTAGAAGCCTTTTGAAAGGTACCCAAAACAGTAGCTATTGAGCGCAAAGTTCTAAAGGGAGAATGAGATATCCCATTAAAAACAGCTTCACACTGTGACTTCCAAATGAACCAGCATGAGAAGGTGACCTGAGCCAGAAAACGTTCAAAATTCTCCTTACAATCCAAAAATTGACTGACAACCAAGCACAACTAATCAGACAAGGTAGTTATAGGGCTTCGATTAATTTGAAGACGAAGAGGATTCCTCGACCACACCTTGGTAGCCCACGGACACAGAAGAAGTACGTGTTCCGTGGACTCATCATTCTCTCCACAAATGGGACAAAGGGGGGACTCGGACCATCGATGGTGGAACAGGTTGAGTTTAGTGGCACGAGTA